CTGCTGTTTAAACATATCCGCCAAAGTTCATATATTTGGGGAATTTAATACCAGTGCAACGGTGTGGAGAGGTGGGACCCTGAAGAGACGATTAGGTCATAGGGCTCTGCCCTCACCTGCGGACTAGTGATCTTATGGCGGGAGTGGGTGATTGGTGAAACAATAAGTTGATCCTTCTTCCCTCACGTCCCTCCCTCTCCTTTCCTCCCTCTGCCATTGGATGATGCAGCAGAAAACCCCCACCAGATGTCAGCCCTTTGATCTTAGACTTCTCAGCCTCCAGAACTGTGAGGAAATAAATTTCCGTTCTTCATAAATTACCCAGTCTCAGGTATTCTGTCAAAGCAGCACAAAAGAGACTGAGATAAAAGGTCTTCTAACGTCCAGTCTTTTATCCACTTCAGAGGGTGAAGGTATCCATTAATTCAAAGAACTATTCAGAAAATAGGATTTTCAGTGTCTATAATGAGAGTTGGTAATGAAAGGAAAGGACATATTAATTAAGGTGGAGAGTGGGAGTTCACTAATAATATCTGACTGCTGACTTTTCATGAATAAGAGCATTGGCCACTCCCCGTGAGTTACATGAGCTGAAATAATTTGGAGGACACATGGGCTCTGAACTAAGGAGTAACAAGTCCTTTTTTTATATTATACATTGATTTCTATTACACAAATGGGGCCACATGAAAGAGAAATCAGTGGACTCCATTGTGAAACAATAAGTGTGAAGATATCCTTGCAATATCAGCGTGTGTCCTTTTCTGTAAATTTGCTTGTTTGGTGCACAGCAGTTACTGCCAAAGCAGGATATTTGAATATTAGTCTTAATCCCGCAAAAGATTACAGTGACTCTGCATGAGTAGCAAGTTGCTGCTGTTGAATATATATCCAGTATTTAGTATTCAAAAACTATTTTCCCAGCTTGGTCTCCCCACCATGTGGCACTGATTGTGTGTGTGTGATGCGAGTGTGTGTGTGAATGTGTGTGTGTGAATGTGTGTGCATGTGTGTGTGAATGCGTGTGTGTGAATGTGTGTGTGTGAGTGAATGTGTATGTGAATGTGTGTGCATGTGTGTGTGAATGCGTGTGTGTGTGAATGTGTGTGTGTGTGTGAATGTGTGTGTGTGCGCATGTGTGTGCACACATGCTTGGTGCACCACTCTTCCCGTTGCCTGCATTCGCAGTTGGCTATGTAAAAGCTAGGTCAGTGGGCTGATGTGATCTTTGAGATGCTGCTGGCTGGGTTTAGCATAACAGTCTTTAAAGCAGTAAGCAGAACCTTGGTTACCTTTCTGCTGTGGTAATTGCAGCTTAAAATATTAATTGGAAAAGCCCCCTTTTCCGTACTCTCCCCCTTTTTTGCATTATTGGGCATGTTAGAAACTTCTGGGAAGCCTTGAGAAGTGAGGAAATGGTGGGTGGGGCAGAAGAGAAAGAAAGGGAGTGCACACCGTGGAAAGCTGCACTGCTGCTGTAGTTTCCTCTCCCCTCACTGAGATGTAATCACTAGTTGGAGGAAACTGGAATATTCGAAGAAGAAGGGCCAGTGCAGGGTAGAAAAAGGTGGGGAGGACAGGAGAATTCAATAATAGGGCCAAGGGCAGTTTAGCAAAGCAATGCCCAATAAATTGTACTATGGAACTCATAAGTAGGGAGTCAGAGCCATCCAGGGGACAAGGAAAATTTTTCTACTGTTTCTTTTGAAGATCTGCAGACAGATTCTATGCCAGACTTTCAGATTGGAAGCATTCAGTCTATTGTTTCTATAATTCCCTTCTTCCTCTTTTTAAGGGCAGAAGTGCTAGTTGACCACCCGTTTCCAACAGCTTTCTTCATACCTCCACGCCAGTCCTGATGACTCTGATCCTATACTCATGAGGCAGACCTGAAAGTTACAAGCAAGCTGAGTCTGAGCTTAATTTCTAGTTAAAGTGGAATACTTTCACATATTTTTATGGATGTTGGAAGATGAGTATACCAACTGGATCAGTCCTGAAGACATCAAAAGTCTGGGTGTTACAGGGAGGAAAATAGCAGAAACTCTGCTGGAAGAAATACCAAAATAGTTATTGTTCATGTGGTAGAAAAAGCAGTGAATGAATAGTCATAAGACCTGGGGTCTAGATGCAGCTTTCCCTTAACTGGCCACGTGACCTTGAGCAAATCCTGTCCCTCCCTCACAGAATGATGAGTGGAATTCAATAATTTCTAAGATCATTCAAATCTTCACATTTTAGAAACCATACATTTGTCAACAAATATACATTAGATGTCTCTAATATGCCAAGCATTATATATACACCTATAACATTTTATTATCTTTGTTTCTGAAGGACCATATTTCTCTTTGGTTACTCAATTTCCTCATTGTGAAATGAGACTAATGCTGACTGTCCTGCTTATTTTAGAACACAGAGATTGTATCTGAAAGTGATTTGGGAAATCTAAAATGTTCTGCAGCAGATACGTTTGATATATTCATTTGTATTCTGGGAACATATGTACAGGTTTTTCTCTCTGAGACAATAAGCAATAACCTGAAAACACTCTGTTTTACTTGAAAATGTATGACATGCCTGATCCAGATAGAAATTATCCTAATACTGTTCTAGAGTTGTGTGTGCATATACACACAAAGCTGCTAATTAGATCACAGTAAATGCACAAAGTAACATTGTCTGCTTGAAGAATAAAGAATGTGCTCCCTGAGAACTAGTCTATTTTATTCATTATTATATTTATAATAGTAATATTTATTGAAGCAATGAATGAATTAAGCAATGAAAGAATGCAGATAGCAGATATTTCTTTAGTTTTCTTTTTATTATCAGTTTCAGTTCTTGTGTCATGGTCAATGTTTAGGTATTTTCTTTGATACTTTTCTTATCCTCTGATTAACTCTAAAGGAGGGTATGTTGAAGCTCATTTTGACTCAAAATAATTTATGTTTAGAAATCAAAAGATGTTTGTTTTGCAAACACCCATTCCTTACTAAGATATATTACTATTGCACTTGCTTCCTGAGATCCTCTTTAAAGTATTTAATGCATTATTCTGCTTTAGTTCTGTAGCACCTAACACAGGTTATGGCACTGAATACGTACTCAGTAATTCATGAATGATTTGTCCAATAACTGGTGTGAGTACCTGGGACAGAGGCACATGACTAATAGGAGTATTGTGTAAGAAATGGCAGAGGGGTTAGCTGGCCAGGCGCAGTGGCTCATGCCTGTAACCTCAGCACTTTGAGATGCTGAGGCAGGTGGATCACGAGGTCAGGAGATTGAGACCATCCTAGCCAACAAGGTGAAACCCTGTCTCTACTAAAAATACAAAAAAATTAGCTGAGTATGGTGGTACATACCTATAATCCTAGCTACTCAGGAGGCTGAGGCATGAGAATTGCTTGAACCCAGGAGGTGGAGGTTGCAGTGAGCCAAAATCATGCTCCAGCCTGGAGACAAAGCAAGAGTCCATCTCAAAAAAAAAAAAAAAAAAAAAAAAAGAAAGAAAGAAATGACACAGTAGGAGTCCTGAAATTTGCCACTGCATTTTTAGTGATTTCCTTTCAGTGTTAAGATGGTTGTCACCACACAAATCATATCTATTTGTTTACTGTAAATTTTCTCCAGGGTGCCTTCCCATTTTCAAATAATGAATCGGATTCCTTCAGTATTACAAAGAAAATATTATGAAGAGCCTTATCTGATAGTAATAACAACCATAACCACTAAGTAGAGAGTCTACATTTATTAATAGCAATGTCATCTTCTCTAACAGTTGTCCAGTGTCCCAGGCCTATCATAAGCTCTTTGAGAATGAGAGTTGTGCTCTACACTTAAGATGGCTACTTAATTTAGATAGAAGAAGAATGTGGTTATTTGCAGGCAGAAGGCAACTTGATTCCTCACATGGCACTATAGTAAAACACCCTAGGCCCTCAATTTTACTTGTGATCTTTTTGCACCTTCCTTCATTTAAGGAGTCTCTTGAATTCCATAACTTCCAGATTCCACCTGAATAAATGGTGGAGGTGGCAATTGAGCAGAAAGTTATTTTACCCTGTCCCCTTCACATAAAAGGCAGGGTTGGGTTCACTTAGGTTTGGGGGACGTAAACATCCTCTCAGTGTTTGAGTACCAAGGAAATGATGAACTACTATCAGTAGAAAAGTAACAGATTGGTTAATTATCAGTCAGTCTGGTGGCGATTATTTTAAGACGTTTGCCACAAACTGAACTTCCCCAAAGAAAATTATCCATCAGTCTGGTGGTGATTATTTTAAGACTTTTGCCACAAATTGAACTTCCCCAAAGCAAATCTCTCATGCAGTTTGGACTTAATTTCTTTTACCCTTTCTTGAGAGGCTATTATTGCAGTGCTTCCCTATCTAAAACACTGTTTCTACCAGGGCATATTTGTGGGTTTTCTGCACTACAGACTAAGCAATTCAGTCTTTTCTCCACAAGAAAAACTGTTATGTTACATCTGGGCAAAAATGGAAACTTAAAAAAAAAATCCTCACATCTTTTTATTTTCCTGCGTGTGTGTGTGTGTGTGTGTGTGTGTGTGTGTGTGTGTGTTTTCCACGTAAGTATTTTATTTCCTAATCGAAGCTCATTCTTCTCTATGAGGCGCTGCCCTGATATTTTCGCCTGACAAATCTCCCAGAGCAGATGGTCCCCTCAGGGAAGCTCTGGAAAGTGCTGGGTGTTTGGTCATGCCTGGCCCCTCCCTCCCTCTTGGGGCCTCAAATGACAAGTCATCAAACCAGTTTCCCTCCTGCACTGGGTCTTTGATCCAGTAGCAGCAGGTTTGGGTTCCAGGCACTGCAGAGACCCTTTGCAGTTGGGTTTAGCAGCTACCCAAGTCTGCAGCCTGCGCTGGTCCTGGGGGTGAGAGTGATATCCCTGTTGTCCAATCAGAGACTCGAGTTTCACTGCGGTCCCCGCCCCACTTTCCCCGCTGCCCCAATAACGGCCCTTAAAGGCCGGGCTTCTGCTGTCAAGTAGCCAGGGTGGGCTCCGCCGAGGCGAGGAGGGGCGCCGGTGGGGAGATGCGCTCCCAGGTGTTTGCAGTGGAAGTGGGAAACCTGTAGGGTATGGTCCAGCTGTGTCGCACCGAGGCGAGCAGGAGCAGGGAACAGGTAGGAGGCAGGACTTTTCCTTCTTTGCCGATAAAATAAAGAATGCGCATTTCCATGCTGTTGCTTCCCTTCCCCCAGCCCCGCCCCGCCCTCGTCACCCCCAAATCTCCTGTGGTCGCTGCAGCTCTCGCCGGGAAATACGGCGCTGGAAGGACCGGGTTGGGGGAGGTGGCTGGGGTGCGGGGAAGCAGGGGTGTGGGATGCCGGAGACCGGGGGTGCCGGGCAGGGCAGGACGGCAGTGCCCTAGGAGAGGGCTCCGCGCCCGAGGTCAACTTTCCTCTCCGAGGCTGCGGCCGCCAGCGCCGGGAACTCGCCCCGGGGATGCCATGTCTCCTTGACTGGGGAGGGGTGGGGAAGCGGCGGGGTCGGCAGCCCGGGGCCAGCCGAGCTTCGGCTCTGGACGCCGGCCCGCACCTGTCCATCTTCGCCATCCCACCTGGGCGCCTGGCTAGCCCATCCCCGAAAACCTAGGAGCGGTTGCGGACACGGGAGGAAGGGAGTTGTTTGTCCCCTGGCCCCTCTGTTAAGATCTAGCTCCCTTCAGGAGAGGGGGGGTAGGGAAGAATCCCTGCAACTCGAAGGGCACGTTCCGATTAATTACATCTCCGCTGAGAAGGCACCTGCCCTCAATCTGCGGCAGGTGGGAGGGGAGAGACCGCGGAGCCGCTGCCTCTTCCCCCCTAGCCTGGCGCTGTCTAGTGGAACCACCTTCACACCTAGCTTCTGAAAGGTGGGTTTGGCTTCAGGGATTCCCGGGGAGTCAAGTGACTGTGCCCGGATGGGCTCCGAGCGGCTGCGAGGCTGCCTCCCTGGGTGACCGCCTCTGGGTAGTAGGTGTTGGCTCTGTGCCGGTTCCTGCTGGAGTCAGATGGCTGGGAGCAGTAGGCAGAAGAATTACAGAGAAATCCGACGCTGCATCGCCCTCCGGGACTGATGACAGCCTGCTTTGAAAATTCTTGAAAAATTGGGATGATAAGGAGGGAGAGGGGAGAGCTGTGACCTTTCCTTATTTATTTATTTATTTATTTATTTTCATGCTAGACCGGGCATGGGCATTCGTACGTGTGCTTGTGTGCACATCTCCAAGGTGGAGCTATATATAGCTCCTGCATACCCAGCCCGGCTTCCCTGCTGCTGAGCCGGCTGCCTTGGCCTTCTCAAGCAATCTGGAAGCACTGAGTGGGAGGGGCAAAGGGAATCCAATTCTCCATTGGGGGAAAAGCCGGAGAAGAGGGATTCAGACTGCTGAAACCCTGCGCGAAATACTGTTTTTCTAACTCACGTAAAAATCAGTATTTTGTATTTCATATTTTCGATATTTCATGTTTCCAGTATGTCATATTTCATGTTTTCAAAATGTGCCAATGTGATCTTCTTCATTTCGCCGCATTTTTTGGTTTCTAAGTGTACATGCGAACCTTACCAGCCCTAAGTGAAACACAAATCAAATTAATACATGCCATATCTGGGATATTTTATTAGATATTATCAGCATAATGGTTTAAGGCTAATTATTTAAGGTTACAACCTGCTGTGTAAACTTATTCATACTTAGTCTTCATTAGTTATTTGGTGGTAAATTTATTTGAGTGATGACTTACAGCTAACAGCATTTGGGAATCTGGAAATGGATCCACCTGCTTTCTAGGACTAAGGAACTGTTAGAACCCTTTTGGGGATAGATTTGATGCATTTCATTGTACATATTTTACTTTTGAAACTGATAAATTTGTCGCATCTATTTGTACTACGTGAACTTCCTTTTATAGATAGATATATGTGTATTTATCTTTGCCATTCCCCAGAATTATTGATTCCTGGTGACAACCTTTCTATTTTCAGAGATGAAGAAACTAAGATTCAGAGGACGCAAGTGATTGGTTTAAAGTCTTCTGAAAACTTAAACTCTAATATTCCATCAACCTGCTGTGTAATTATACCGCATAGCAGTATCCCCTTAAATAGAATATTTTTTAGCTTCCCACGATTTTTGGTCCTGGCAACAAAATGTGGCCAGTGTTGACACCAGGAACAATATAAACCAAGTTTATTCGTTATATTCTGACATGTATCCCTACAAAATTTAATTGTGTTTTTAGAACAAAATTCTAACTAGCCAAGTCATTTTGAAAATAAATGATTTAATCTACCAAATTACCATCACAGGCAGTGGGAGCTAGCTTTTAATTTTGCTCTGCAACTTCCTAATGATCTGATTTGGAGCAAGTTAATTAAACTCTGAGAATCTGTTTCCTCATCTTCAAAAGGAATTTTATAGCATTGAATTTTCAGATTGCCTATGAGGGTTCCATAACATGTATGCATGTTTCTATCATGGGGATGGGTACATAGTGGGTCATTAATAAACAGGGCCACTAGTAATCATAACAATACATTGATACATATCAACTAAATGGATTTTAAAATTCATGGTTTTAACAATGATCACTCCACTTTGGAATCTCTAGTAGATTACTTTCACTCGAAAACTTATTCATACTTAGTCTTCATTTGTATGGCTGATTTGTTTTCTACCTAGGAAGCACTTCGCAGAAAAAGACTTTGCTTATAATATTTTTGTATACCCCACTACATTGAACACAATCCTATAATAAGTAGCCTTAAAGACTCTTGTTCAGGAAGTATCATTCTAAGAAACTGGATGTGTGTTGTAATGATTTGGGGATAAGTTTTTGGTAGAAGGCTATGCATTGGGAGGAAACTTCCTTTGGCTTTATGATCCTCTCCACGAGGAGTAATGGATGACAAAATGTTTCTATATCCTACCATAGAATGATTCAGTTTTCCAGTAGGGGTTATGACAGTGTACTGGGTCTCCATATCCTCTTGTATCTTGTGTCCTTTGAGACCAACCAGAAACAGCTGAAATAGAGAATTCATATTTCTGCATATAAAATATGCCCTGTAATTGCCTTATTTCAAAAAAAATCAACAAGTGTTTTGATTTCCTTCTACTTCTACATGTAAACTGGCCGTGGTCTGTGTCAAATCCTGCAACCTATTCTAACTCACCGGTAAGCTCCTCCTCCTCAATTCCAGTATTTGTTCTCTTTTAATCTGTGTATTACCCATTGTTATCTTCTGATCTGCCATTTTCTGTATTGTCCATCTTCTGCTTGAAATTTTGCTCCTTTACACCACAATGCTCTGGTGCACTTTTTTTCTTAATTTTTCTAACTTTATTTCCTTTGCCTCCCTTTTATCTTCTCTTTCTACTTCTAGCTTTCAAGCAAATCTCCCAAATTGATGACAGTTTATCTTATTGAAAATAAAATTGTCCTTCTGCATTTTCATTCCTAATCTCCATCCCATTAGCCGTTTCCTTTACACTTATTCTACTGGCCAAGAGCACAGACTTTGTGAGGAAGCCTGCAGGTGTTGATATTTATGTATCATGATGCAGTTAAGTAAACATCAGCAAGCCAATTAGGGATTATTATTGCACTTATGTGGGAGGATTTCGCGATTTTTAAAATATTTAATGAGATAACGCATCTTAAACATTCAAAATAGGGTTTGGCCCATGGTGATTACTCATAAAGAATAATAGAAGTGGTGGTATAGCAATTGTAATGGGCAAGGTGAAAACTGGTTTGGCTTTTTCCCCATCAATAGGCATCACTCCTAAACTGGGTTTTATCAATGGAGGCGACAACTTTACAGGCTTTCTGTTTATGGTCAGCTGCTTTCTAAGACTTTCTTTCCTCTCTCTCCAAGAGTTCACCATATATTCAATAATTAATTCATTTTCATTTTCAACTTTACTTTGTATTTTTCTCTGCTTATTCCAGTGCTGGTTTCATCTGGCACTGCATGCCTGGATTAGTGCAGTAGGCAGGTTATCAAATCTTCCAGTGTATAAGTTTATCTGCTTTAATCTAAGATACCACATATTATTGGTATAATGTGTTTTCAGCGTTTATTAATGCTTCTACTTTGCTTTGAATCTTTCACTGTCCTTTAGTTCAAATCTTAAAGAGCACTGATGTTGGAGCTGGAGACTCAAGTTCAACTCCTGATAATAGGACTGATCAGTTGTGTGTCCTTGGAAATGTAGCAGCAGGAGAATTGATGGGGCATTATTTCACTTGGATGATATGAGTGACCTACTGTGTAACATTCTATTCAAAAGTCTATCTTTTTAGTATTAAATTAAAAACAACATTTTCTTATTATAAGGAAATCTAGCATCATTAAAGAAAAATTGGAAATAAAGAAAAATCCACTAAATTCCACAATACCAAGAGATCTTATTTCAGTCTTCCATCTTATTTCTATTAAAATAAATAGGTATTTTTCAATTATAGATTTGAGTTTATAGTGAACATTCATTTTTGTATTTAGCTTTTGTAACTTAAGATACCATAAACATTTATTCATTTCATTTAATATCCTTACTAGCCATGTTTTTATGTCTGTCAATATTCTATCATAGATCTTTAGATTGTTTTCAGTTTTCCACAGTCATGAAAATGAACCTATATATAACATTAATATTTGGATTTTTGACCATTTCTTTACAACAACGTCTTAGAAGTTACCCAGGCAAAAGTGTAACTGTTTTTAGCCTCATAACACTTACTGCCAAATTGCTTCCCCCAAAATGTATGCACAGATTTATACTTTACCAGTGGGTGTACCAGTTTGGCCACACTCTTGTTAACACTTGGTATTATTTTTAAAAATTGGGATCATTATGATAGCATGAATTGTATATCTGGTTATTCTGAGTTATGTTTCTATGGTTTTGGATGAGTTCAAAATGTTATATTTGTTCTTTATATTTCTTAATTTGTGAATTTCATTTGACTATTGGAATGTTCATATTTTCTTCATGTAATAGGAAATCTGTGGTATACTGCAAACATTTTCCTCACCTTGTTCTTTGCATTTTAAAAAATGTTTTCTAACATGTAGAAATTTATAGCTTTACTATCGTTTATAAATATTTGCAGTAGTGTTTCTTTGTAGCTTTCAG